ATAGGGTCTCCACTCCCTAGTTGATGTTATTTTAGACATAGGGTCTCCACTCCCTAGTTGATTTTATTTTAGACATAGGGTCTCCATTCCCTAGTCACCCTTTCTAACATAGGGTCTCCACTCCCTAGTTGATATTTTTTTAGACATAGGGTCTCCACTCCCTAGTTGATTTTTTTTTAGACATAGGGTCTCCACTCCCTAGTTGATTTTTTTTTAGACATAGGGTCTCCACTCCCTAGTATCTTTTCCAACATAGGGTCTTCACTCCTTAGTTGATTTTATTTTAGACATAGGGTCTCCACTCCCTAGTCTCTTTTCCAACATAGGGTCTTCACTCCCTAGTTGATTTTATTTCAGACATAGGGTCTCTACTCCCTAGGTTTTTTCCCAACATAGGGTCTCCACTCCCTAGTTGATTTTATTTTAGACATAGGGTCTCCACTCCTTAGTCTCTTTTCCAACATAGGATCTTCATTCCCTAGCTGATAATTTTTAAACATAAGGTTTCCACTCTCTAGTCTGCTTTTCCAACATAGGGTCTTCACTCCCTAGATGATATTTTTAGACATAGGGTCTTCACTCCCTAGTCGCTTTTCCAACATAGGTCCTCCACTCCCTAGTTGATGTTTTAGACATATGGTCTCCACTCCTAATCTGCTTTTCCAACATAGGGTCTCCACTCCCTAGTTGATTTTATTTTAAACATATGGTCTCCACTCCCTAGTCTCCTTTTCAACATAGGGTATTCACTCCCTAGTTGATTTGATCTTAAATGCAGGGTACACCAATCCCTGATATCTTTGCAAATATAGGGTATCCCATTCCTTGGCCACATTTTCCCAACATAAGGTACACCAATCCTTAGCTGAGACATCCTATTGACAATAATAGAACACCATCCAAAAAAAAACATGACTTTTTCAGGGTACACCACTCTCGATCTTTTATTGTTTTCAATAAAAAAGTAGTTTAGAATTTTGTTACAATAACTCACGAAATTTTCCTAGTGCAAACTGGGGCAGAAAAATTTCAATCGTTTGTTTGTTTTGGTGTCTGAATAGGTTTTACCTCGAGGTACATGGTTCGAAATGACCAAAAGAAGAAGTCTCAATTCAGAATAAAAGAAAAAAAAAATTAAGTGAATCCAAAATGCAAAAGCAATTAAAAAGATGTGGAATGCTCAAGACATGACTGAAGCCACGAGCATTGGAGTCCCGTTTTGATTAGTAGAAGCTATAGGAAAAATGAACTAGAACCTACAGCTAGCGAGCAGCAAGGTTTAGATCAGAGTCTGCATGAAGAACCAGTCAAGACTCAAGATCAAGTTTCTGAAGACTCATAGATAAGAATCTTGTAACTCATAACTGATAGACTTGTTTAGTTTTATTTTTATATAATAGCAGGCCCGCGGACCGGAGCCTCGACGGAACCTCACTCGACTCCTCAACTCATCATTACACCATTCTCCTTGAACTACACGCGACCTGATTCCCCTATAACCCGGGATATGTAGGCTGTCCAAAACCAGGACTCGGTTGCACCCTATCTTTTATTTCTTTTCCTTTTGAATAATGGTTTGGTCAAACATTAGTCACATGGCTCACCTAGTCTTTGCCTAAAAACTCTTCATGTTTTCAAGCAAAGAGGGGCAGCTATGAGCACCTAATATTTGACTATATTTGAATTTTTATCACCTTCTACTATGTAAATATATTCAGAAATTTAATATATATATTTTTAGCTTTATTATATTTTTTTATATAGGGTAAAAATTAATAATAATTTAAAAGGTTAATTATTAATATTAGTATTATTTTTAGTTTTATTTTTATTTTCTTTATTTTTAAATAAAATGAATTTAAAAAACCAAAAATAAATAAAAATTAAATTTTTTTTTTAAAATTGCGGATGGGAATTAAAAAAATAGTAAAAGGAGAAATGTAAAATTAAAAAGTAAAAGTAAAAGTAGGTAGAAATTGTTTAATAAAAAAAAGTAAAAAATTAAAAAAAATAAAAGTAAAAGAATGTGGAAATTTTAAAAAATGAAAAGTAAAATAAAGTTGGAATTAAAAAATAAAAGTAAGGGTATCTGATTTTTTTTAATAAAAATAAAAGTAAGTGAAAATTTAAAAAAAGAAAGTAAAATAAGTAGAAAATAAAAAAAGAAAAGTAAAAAAGTGGGATTTTAAATATATTAAAATTTTAAAAAGCGAGAAATTAAAAAATAAAAGTAAAAGAAAGTGGGGAATTATTTTTTTAAAAAAAATAAGAAAAATGGGAAGTGGAAATTCTTTTTAATTAAAAAATAATTTTTAAAAAATCTGAAAATTTCGAAAAAAAAATAGAAGAGAAATGTGAGGAAAAAAGAAAGGGAGAGAAGGAGAAAAAAAAGAGGGAGGAGGGAATTGAGAGAAATTTATTTTTCTTCTTCTAGCATAAGGGAATTTCTACTCGTGTCATTCTTTCTTCGGCTTTCTTTCGAAAAATTCAGCAATTCATCACCTAAACCAGCCCCCAAACACGAGCTAAAAGTTGCTGAAATCAGCTGGAAAACGCAGCAAACACAGCTGTAAAACACCACCCAAATTTCAGCTCTAAATCAGCCCCAAAATCTCACCCAAAACAACTGCGAAAATAGCTTCAGAAACAGTCACGAAATCCAGCTGAACCACCTCCAAAAAGCACCATTAAAAGCACCTTTGAAACACCTCATTTTAGCTCCGAAAACCTCACCCAAAACCAGTTGAAAACAGTGACGAAAATCAGCTCCTTTTCAAAAAAAAAAAAACTTAACAAAACCTGCTGTAAACTCACTCCAAAATACCCAGAATACAGATTCAAAATAAGTGCAAAATCAATTCCGAAATCATTGCCAAAGTGAGGAAGTGTTCGAGTTTTTCGGTTCGAGGTTCTGGTCAATAGCTCATTCACTTCGGTTTGCTATTTTAGAGATCTTATTTCACTGTACATGACAAAAAATATACATCAATAAAGGTCCAAATTCTTCCCCCATCTATTAGTTCCTTTTAATTTTATATGTATGTGAGGTTTTATTTGGCATGTTTTCTATGAATATGTCAATTGTTTGATTATTGGATGGATGCATCTTGTCTTAGTAATTATGTTGAGGTTAATTGTTTTGAGTGAACAAGACAATCTATTATTAATTGAGCAAATATCGTTGATTAACAAAAGTAAGAGGGTATTTTTCATCTCACTGAATTGCCCTTTATTTGAGTTTAAACTAATTTGTAAAGTTGAAAATTAAGAGTTAAAAGGATTGTTAGCTTTGGCTGAAGCTTATCACCATAATTGAGCTTTGGTTGTTATTGTCTTGTAAAAGAAATGGGCCAAACGTAATTTCTACTAATAGGCCTAAAACGTTGAATGATTTCAAGATAGAATGTTAGTAATTTGTTTAGTCGTAGATATCTCTAATCGTTTAGCAATACAATTGATTTTGTTAGTAATTCATAAAAGCCAAATCTCGCATTTTTCTACAATAATTTCCATAACCTATGACCTTCACAATAATCTCAAACTTTTTGAAAAAATAAATTAATTATACATTCGTAGCTTGCTTCAGGCACGATTAATAAATCATCGTGACTATAGGTACGGTTCCCGTGGCATGGTCACGATACGTAATCCCCAATTCGAGTGTGCGTTTCACGTGACTCGACTACAACTTCAAACAATAATAAATAAAATTAAACACGTCATAGATTGCGAGTGCGTTTCACGTGACGCGATTTGTGATGTGTATAAACAACGAGTGTACGACAATGTAACTCGTCTCATATTAATTCCATAAAAGTTTAAAATGCAGTAATATAATAAAAGCGATAAAAGGAATAAAATACACATATAGGTTTAAAACATTTATTAAATCAGATAACTAGACCAATTATTAATAGTTGAGCGACCTTGCTAAAATCACGAAACTCGGGAATGCCTCACACCTTCTCTCGGGTTCACATAATTCCTTACCTGGTCTTCTGTGTTCGCAGATCATAAATAAGAGTCAATTTTCCTCGATTTGGGATTCTAAAATAAATCGGTGACTTGGGACACCATAAATTATTCCAAGTGGCGACTCTGAATAAAATAAATAATCCCATCTTTGAATAATGTCAATTTAATTGGAAAAACTCCCTATCCCCTATCCCTTATCCCCTCGGGATAAAGGAGGTGTGACATTACAATGATATTAGGAATTGAACCTTAGTTATTATTGTTTCTCAAAAAAGAAAATGTAAAAAAATAAGAGCAATTTACCCTAATCCAAAGTTACACCTTAATCTTCTTCCTCACAATTAGCCTCATACTCTCTCTGTCCACAATAAATGACCAATTTGACTTGGACACACCCATTATAGAAATATAAAATTCTAGACAAAAATAGTTAGTGTGACTAAACTACCCTTAATTTAAATATTGCAGCATAGTTAATGTGAGGGGTAAAAGACTTTTTAAGGATACGTATATAAGGGTAATTTTGAAAAAATAAATTAATTTTTTTTTTGATTATATAAATATACACTTATTTTGGACCAAAATAAAAAGATAAATTGGTCACTTATTGTGGACCGGAGGAAATATCAATTAATGTTGTTGATAAATATTACATGATGATCTACTGTTGGTTTTATGCATTAAAACATTAATCTCAAGTAAATGATATTAAAGCTGATGAATACAAATAAAGTTTTAACATATTTACTTGGGCACTTAAGGAATTTTAAAGACTCTATTTAAAAAATAATAATAATATTATATTTTGAGGTCTAAACATTTATTAATAATAAGTTTACCTCTAAAAGTAATTTCAAATGAAGGGAGTAGATATAAATAAAATTTGGTTTTCACGTGTATATGATGGTTTGTTATTTCCCACCGCCGCAAGTCCCTGAACATGCTGAAGTGGCAATTTACTAATGTTCAGGGTCATTTACATTTTTTCTAAGTTATTAAAAGGACGTCAGATGCAATTTTCCTCATCCTTAAAAACCCATCAACTTCGACGACCGGACGTTATAATCTTTACCAAATTCCCGAACAAGAAAACCCTAATCTCTGTGAAAAACGAAGAAAAACCAGCGAGGATGTCGTACGACGACGTGGAGATTGAGGACATGGAGTGGAACGACGAGCTCCAAGCTTTCACATATCCTTGTCCGTGCGGCGACCTGTTCCAAATCACAAAGGAAGATCTGAAGCTAGGCGAAGAGATCGCTCGATGCCCTAGCTGTTCCCTGTACATCACTGTTATTTATAATATGGAAGATTTCCTCGGAGATTCCAATAAACACGTTGAGCCTTCGAAACAACAGCCAATTGCTGTCGCTTGAGAACCTCAAAATTTAGGTTTTTTTTGTCCAATTGAAGATTATGGTATCATATTGTAATACGTAGTGGTTCGAACTGGCTTAACTGCCTGAAATTTTGATGTATTGAGAAAGAAGGATTACTGGTGTTTGAAGTTTGTCCACTTTAGAATTTAGATTATGAATTTTATTGGGATTGCAATAAATTATAGTACGTAATTATGTACTATCTTTTCTGCTATTTGATTGCTTGTGCAGAGTTCAACAATTATGTGTTGAAGCTGCTCATCTTGAGGTGCTGTAAATTGGTGTACCTTTGTAGGATTGAAGCTTTAACTTGTACGGTAGTATTTTGTTACCTGATGCCGTAAGTCGAAGCTGTAGCAATGGTAATTGTAATTGTGTTTTGCCCATGAATGTGGAGAGTACGAATTGGTACATACTAAACAATTAACCTTAAGAGTTAACAAATTAAAGTGAAAATCCATATTACTATTATAAGAGTAATTGTGTCTGCCTGTTAAGTTTTGTTTGCAACTTCACAATTAACTTTAAGAATTAACAAATCAAAGTGAAAATACATATATCACTATTTATAAGAGGAGTTGTGTTAAACTGCTTGGAAAGTTTTGTGCAACTTCGTAATTATAGAAGTGCACCATGAATTTTAATACCAGGCTTTTGAACAATTTAATACAGGGACAATTTGCACCAGCTTCCAGACAGTCAGTAGAAAATATGCCAGGTAATTAATCAAATGGTTAAGCCTGTGGCTAAGTCACAGTTCTAATTAAGTGTTTGGTCACTATAATCTTGGTGTCCATATGATAACATTGAAGTTTATAATCTTGGTGTACATATGATAAAACAGAGGAAGCAAGCAAAGCAGTAGTATTTTATCAACCACATGTAAATCTTTACCCTGTTTATTTTAAAGGAGTCACCAGAAACATGACAGGTTTACGTGATGAATCACTCTGTAAAGGGTAACTCATATTGCTAAGGATTCCATGTATAGAATTGATATTCCTGTAGAATTAGGAGACTTGATCTCCAAGAGTTTCCTTGTAGACTTAGGAGACTTGCTCTCCAAGATTTTCCTTGTATGTATATTCTGATGTAACCAAACGTTCTAATAGATAGAGAAAAAGAGCTTTTACATGATATCAGAAGCCAAAAGAGGTTAAAACAACCCACAATTTTTCCTCTCTTTCTCCTTTAAACAAAAAAAAACAACGATGGGGGATGAAACTCTCTCTTCCTCAACTTCAAGTGTTGCAACAACATCTTCAGGAAATCATTCGCTGCAAAATTACTTCTCTTCTCCAAACCTTGCACATCACTTACCGGTTAAGCTCACGTCATCAAACTTTTTGCGCTGGAAGACGCAGTTTATGCCTATGGTATGCGGATATGGTCTAAACCACCATATTGATGGTAGTGAACCAGTTCCACCACAATTTTTGGTCAATAATCAACCAAACCCGTGAATACCAACTTGTTTTAAGTTGGATTGTTGCCTCCATTTCTGAGAGTATCTTGCCCCAATTGATCGGAACAGAGACTGCTCGTATAGCTTGGGACAACTTGTTGTTGCATATGCTTCGGGATCGAAGCCACAGATTCGTGAACTCAAGACGTAATTGCACTCTACGACGCGACACTGCAAGTATTGAATCTTACATGCAGAAGGCAAAGGGAATCGCGGATAAGTTGGCTGCATTAAAGCATCCAGTTACTAATGATGATCTGGTGGAATTTGTTCTTGCTGGACTAGGCCCTGCCTATCGCCCTTTCACTAGGTCACTTGAATCGCGTCAACAGGACATCAGTTTTGATGCTTTATATGGGCCCTTGTTGAATGAAGAACGACAGTTGAAAAGAGATGAATCTATTAATGTTATTGCACCCACAGCACAATTTACTCAGAGCTTGATCCCTACTACACGCGGTCGTGGTAGGGGACGTGGGGGTCGAGACCATGGACGCTCGTCAAATCAAGGGTTCATCCACAGCACAATTTACTCAGAGCTTGATCCCTCCCTACTACTCGTGGTCGTGGTAGAGGTCGTGGGGGTCGAGACCATGGACGCTCCTCAAATCAGGGGTTCACCCACAGCACAATTTACTCAGAGCTTGATCCCTACTACTCGTGGTCGTGGTAGAGGTCGTGGGGGTCGAGACCATGGACGCTCCTCAAATCAGGGGTTCACCCACAGCACAATTTACTCAGAGCTTGATCCCTACTACTCGTGGTCGTGGTAGAGGTCGTGGGGGTCGAGGCCATGGACGCTCCTCAAATCAGGGGTTCTCTCAATTTCCTCTAAATCGCAATCTTCAGAATTTCACACAACGAATAAGTTCTAATGTACAATCACAAGTTTCAGATATGTCAGGGATTATTTGTCATAATTGCGAAGGTAAAGGTCATATTGCTCATGTGTGCCCATCGCCCAAGACCAACAACAATAGTAACAAGGTTTCTGGACGAACTACCTCCAATCTAGCTACCACCCCAACTCCACCCACACAAAATTGGTCAATGTATAGTGACACCACGCATCACCTTACATCTGAGCTTGATAACTTGGTATTCACTCTGAGTACCAAGATCCCGATGAAGTAACTCTAGGTAATGGTTCCAAACTCCCTATTTCCCATATAGGTAAAAGTTCCATTCTTGTTTTTGATAAGAAGTTCATGCTTGATGACATCTTAGGCGTGCCTAATGCTACTCAAAATCTGTTATCTATTAGTTCTTTTACTAAGTCTAAGTGTCTAACCAAGTTTCAATTGAATTTTGTCCTAACCATTTTTTGATAAAGGACTTGGCAACGAGGGACACTCTGCACACGGGGTCGCGTAGTGGAGAACTATATTTTCTTCATGTATCGAAACCATCCTCACCCGCTGCTCATTCTGCATCACTTAGCGTTTGGCATGCTCGTCTGGCTTATGCATCTTATCCTACAGTTCGACAAGCTTTGCAGTCTCTTGTTTTGAGTTTACCCTCTGTTAAATCTTCTAGTTTATGTCCTACATGTGTGCTCTTAGTAAGAGTCATAAAATTTCTTTTAATGAGTCTAGCTTTCAAGCCTCAGGGCCTCTAGATTACTGCGAGATTATCTTTTAACTCTTAAGCAAAGATCTCAAAATAGTAGTTTCCTTCTGAAACCCCCACCCCTCCTAGACACATCTCCTGAAGAACATTAAACGTGCGACATTAACTGCGACCTCTTCACCATAGTTGATGCCAGCTTGATAGTGGACGAGTTATTAACTCCTGCATACTGATGTCATACTTGGAGAAAGATTTCTCGTCCTGCCTCAGAAAGAATAATAGAGACTTATCAGCAGAAGTAATAAATGCCATTAACTCCTTATTATCCGGTTTCAAGAATGTCACCTTGATGATCTTTTCAGTCCATTTGAGCTTCCTGTAATCCTCTAATACCAAGACATGGAGCTCATCTTTTACTAGTTCAGCGAATGATAGTCGGCCATTCCAATCCAAAAGATTAGTGTTGCTTATATCAAGGTCATCATCTAGGGTGTCAAATGGGAGGGTTGGGTTAAATTTAGCGGGTCAAAAAGGGTCAAGTTCATAAATGGGTCAAGACTCCAACATGCCCACAGTTTGTTCGGGTCAAAATGAGTTGGGCCAAGTTGTGTATAACTACGGGTCATGACCTAACCCGCCTAACTTGACCCAACTATCCCCTCATTTATATGCTTTCAGCTATGCTGATCACCATTACAAAATTAAACATGCATTTTTTGACGCAAAATTACAATGAATACGGAAACACATAGCAACAAGCTCTGTGTATATCGTAACTAGTACGTAGGTGATTTCTAAAATGTAAGACAAATTTTTGTATCTCATACAATTTATACTGCTATTATATTGATCACGTACTATTTTATTCTTAAAAATTATTCTATTCTTTAAATTTGGATTTTGATATGAAAGTTTTAAATTTTATTCATACTACTGCCATCTAAAAAAGTTAGTACTATCATAATTTAGACAGTTAGTAGGTGGAATACTTCCTATATAATATGTAAATATATAAATTTTATTTTAAAAAAATAAAAGCATTGATATATAAATTCACGTTGACATGGAGGTGCATTGATCATTTCATTGGAATCGAAGGAAATAATAATATAAAAGGATGGATACAAACATTTAAATATTGAATGGGATCCACATGATAATTATTTTTGCTGATTTGTAAAGATGGAATAGTTTACTGCCCCATCTCAATTGCAGGGAAAAGTGCAAAGAAAGAAGAAGTCATAACAGGTATTGACCCGTTGGGTTGGGTTAATTTTGAACCCGTTGGGTTACACTCGTTTGGACTCATTTTAGCCCAATACTCTCATGGGTCAGTTTGGGTTGAACCAATTTTGACCCATCAGCTATTCTAATAACAACCCAACCCATATAAACTCTGACGGGTTGGGCTGGTTGGGCATGTTTTTGCCACCCCTACTTTCAACATATCTGTTTTGCCTTAAAATCGGACAATAATTAAACTTATAAATGGTTTTAAGGATATGTGATTTCACTTGGCACTAACTGATAAATGTCAGAATTAATGCAAGGGATTAATTGTAAATAAAGCTAACCAATGTGATGAACAACCACGGCCCTCGAGCTAGACCGCCCTCGAACCAGCTAAATATGCTATTAAAAAGTATGGACTTTAACAACAGAGCTTGCAAGAGAAAATATGATACATTGCTTTGTTATGCATGAATGTATGATGGTTACAAAAGGATTAAGACCCTCTTTATAAAGCAGAGGAATCCTATTTATGGTATAGTTCTAATTACAGAAGTAAATCCCATGATAGGCTAAATATTCAATCCTAACTTGATATGTGCCGAGATTCCCACCACGATCCTCGCCCGATCACGGATATCTCGGCTTTATGTTATTCGGCGTAGCAGGCGTCCTTTGATCTTGCTCAATCTCTGCTTCGGTCTCGAATTGACCTCGATCCTGATCGGCCATTGATCCACGAGCTTACCAATCCATCTCCGTACCATGTTCCGATATAATTGAGGTCGGACCTTGATCTTCCGTCCCGATTTTGGTTAGTCGTATGAAATTAAACAATCCCAATTCTAACCGTATACACATAGTCCCCTCGTTTTATGGAGTGCAATGACAAGAAACGAATGAATCTTCGAATCTACCCTCGATTTATCATGTCGTAAGCATCGTGACGTAAGCGACATGGGTGACCGAAACGTCCCATCAATTCAGTTTCCCATGCATTTATTGCACGTCAGTTGTCGGTCGGCCACTAGCAACTTTGAACCGTCGTCGTGGAACCCATAGATAGGACTTTTTTCCATTCATTCAAATTTTACTCTCAATCTCTTCTACTCTAATCTTCAAAGCT